CATCGTCGGGGGCATTACTAAACGAACGGATACGATGTGATTGGGATGAACGTTGGACAGCTATAATTGGAACCTTTTTAGAAACCAAAATATATTGTTGCCAAAACTAAAGGCAGCGGAAAAAATTATCTATTAAATGAGTATATTAAAAAAATGCTGTCTCTATCTCCTGTAAAATATATATGTCAATTTACAAGACTTTCGAAAATCTTCATGAAAGGAGGACATTACTGGAGTCGTCATTTTTGTGGAGGGGATTTCTTCCGGAGGCCAAAAAGGCATCTGTTTTAAAGCCGGCTACCAGATATATGTCTAAAATACCTTGGGATTATGCTCGATGGGTATAAATATCACAATTCTACTTCAATTATTATTCTTAATCTAAAATGCATCTAACAATTTTGATTAGAGTTGCATGGAATCGGTCACTGCATGTAGCCTCATTTTTACATGACTTTGGATTCGTACCCGTTTTTAGCTTAAAGCTATTCTACTTAACCGCGAGACAGCTGTATTGTCGATTTTGATATGAAGCATTCGCTAGAGCTGGCATAACCGAAAATGAGGTTACTACGTCTAACTGGCGACCACGAAGTCACAAATGACCAACGGTATTTCTTGATGTTTTGCTACTGAAATGGTTTTAGGAGACGAGTTTTAGTACATAATTTAATATTTTATTTTGATTAAAAGTGTGAGATCTGTCACCGACTGCAAGTCTTAGTCATCTGCATCAAAAGCAACGTCTGAGGGGCTGTAAATTATTGCAAGCAACTTTAAGCTCATTCACAGCCAATCATTGCGGACCTTCCGGGGTTTGAGCGGAACTTTAAGTCGTCATCCACCGGTTGGCCAATGTAGACTCTCCGATGATGAATAGTTTGCCTACATCGTTCTTTCTTATTTGGGTATCGCAGTTTCTTCCAGAGGAAGCCATTTTAGCCCTCTCTCGAAGATTTGGGATGATGAAAAAATGAACAATTATGGGGGGTATTCGTTGCAACTTTCATAGGACTTGTGCTGGTAGTAAGGTAGCGGTCTAAGCAGTGGTTATGCTTACATCACTACAATAATCAGGCCGAGCCCGACCTGGTAAGTAAAAAGCTGAATGCACATGTAGAATTGCGGAGCAGGTTAAAGTATTCTCAAATTGGTGCGTGTGACATTACCGATAGGCGTGTCATGTCTGGTGGCGTAGGCTGTGTCGGTGTATTCAAGTGGCCCTTGGGCAGCGGCGACTTCTTGGACGCACATAAGTGCCCCCATCTCTGGTCTTCTTGACGAGTGTGTCTGAGTGAATGTCGGTTAAGTGCCTGCAGGTCAGCACTTCTGAAAGCGCTGACTAGGATAATGGATGACCTTGAAGCGGTTGACCTTGAACAAGGAAGCCGGGTACAGCAATGTTGGGCGCCGGCTAAAGTAAAGCCTGCTGTACCTCTGTAGTTCAATTAAAGACCCAAAACTGGAGGAGGTTTCAGAAATGGATTTGTACGCTCCCTGTCAACGCTTTGTGGGCGGAAAGGAGGAGAATATGCTTCCGAAAGCACTTCGAACAACCTGGGCAGCCTTTCAAAATGCACGCTATTTTGCTTCAAAACATCAACGCCAAAAATACTTTTGGATATGATGCTTCCTGAATGGTGATTGAGCATCATTAAAATTCTTGCGAATAGGAGATTTTTCGGAACTAACATACTTATATCCTTCCCATACCAAGGCACAAATGGCACCAAATTCTATCCAAAGATAATTAGCAATGACCTCCACAACAGCCTAGACAGTCAGTAGAAAAATGCGCAAGAGATATGTTCCGACGTCGCTCCCGAATGTGATCTGTGTCCGGCTTGCCGAGTGAACACTCCATTCAAAACCAACATGACCTTGAATAAAATCGTGCGAAACCTACAGTAGATTCACTATCTCATGCAGTAGCTGCCGGAAATCTGAAATAAGTTTTCGATTGGAACATATTAATTGCAGATGGTTGTAATAGA